GCTCGCCGCCCAGGCCTGGAGTGCAGTGGCGATCTCAGCTCACTGCAAGCTCTGCCTCCTGTGGTACACCATTCTCCTGCTCAGGCCTGAGTAGCCCGCCACCTCGCCCAGCTAGTTTTTTGTATTTTTTAGTAGAGACCGTGTTAGCCAGGATGATCTTGATCTCCTGACCTCGTGATCCGCCCATCTACAGGCTTGAGCCACCGCGCCCGGCCATCTTTGGGGAAATTTTTAAAAGACTTTCATGAAATGAAAACATTCAGCTGAAAAAGTCAACTGCAAGTGGCTGGATTGCATGTCACTGAAGGTGAACACCGGCAGCCAGAGATAATCAGTCTTCCTTCATCTTTTCCCCACTTGGCGGCTTGGAAGCTAACTCCAATCCCCTCTGCCTGTTCTTTCTTCCTGCCTTCATCCTAGAAAGCGAATTCTCTCTTTTTTTCCTGGATGACTCATTTACAAGATTGGATGGAAATAGGTTTTAGTTCAGCATACTGTTTGCTCTAACTGGCTTTAACAGTGAGGCCCAATGTAAAATGCTCTCAGCTAAGCCAGGGAACCGCCACTGACATTCTTTTGCGTTGAGTCTCATATCCAGCCGTTATGGTTTGCAGCTGCTACGATTTTCTTTAGGGTGCTAAATGATGTGTTAGCCTGAGAGAATGTTTCCTTTCCTGCTGCCCTTTTTATTTTTCCTTTTTTTCCTCCCTCTTCATTTCCGCAGTTTTCTAATTCGAAGCTTGTTTTGTTCACCTCTCTTTGCAGACTTTGGTTTGAGCAACTGCGCAGGGATCCTGGGTTACTCGGATCCGTTCAGCACGCAGTGTGGCAGCCCTGCCTACGCCGCACCTGAACTGCTCGCCAGGAAGAAATACGGCCCCAAAATCGATGTCTGGTCCATGTGAGTTATCAAGCTTCTGAACATCAATGTTCCTCCTGCTGTCTCCACCGTGCCTTTCTTACGAAATCATGCTTGAGTATTGGATGGCAGGCACAGGTGACAGGCCCAGGAGTACGTTGTCAGGGATTCTTTGGGGCCTGGCTTTCCATCTCTGTTCCTTCTGTTTTGGTCTGCACGAACTGTCAGAATGGCCTTTACCAAAATTCAGTGCGGTGCTGAGGAGGGGAGAAAACCACGTCCTGCCCTCACAGAGCTCACATTCTGGCTTTGCGACTCATTTATGCCCCTTCCTCTGGCCCTTAGTTTCCCATCACCCTCTGTGTGAAGCTCCATCCTGCTGCCCGGCCCGTGCTCCTTGCGGGACTTTCTTGCCCATCTCTCCTGCCCCCTGCCCTGCTCACAGTTCTTCAGACACGTCGGCCTCCCTTTTGTCTCTCCCACCTCTGGGCTTGTTGTTTTTTTTGAGACAGAGTCTTGCTCTGTCGCCCAGGCTAGAGTGCAGTCGTGTGATCTCAACTCACTGCAACCTCCCCTTCCCAGATTCAAGTGGTTCCTCTGCCTCAGCCTCCCAAGTAGCTGAGATTACAGGCATGTGCCACCATGCCCAGCTAATTTTTGTATTTTTAGCAGAGACGAAGTTTCACCATGTTGGCCAGGCTGTTCTTGAACTCCTGACCTCAGGTGATCCACCTGCCTTGGCCTCCCAAAGTGCTGGGATTACAGGCGTGAGCCACGTGCCTGGCCATGCACTTGTGATGCCTGGGATGCCCTTTCCTAGCCCTTTGGATGCCCTGCGCATTCCCGCATCCCCATCTCAAGCCAATGGCGCCACTGCCGAGATCATCTCTGAGCTCCCTGCCAGAGAGTCCCCCAGACTCTCTCCTTATACCCTTTCAGTTTCCTCCTTGGCACCTCTCAAAGCCTGTCCTTTTCCGGTTTTAAATCCATTCCTCCCCTGTCTCCCCAGCCAGCAAGGACTCTGCACGAGGGGAGGGAATTGGTTGGTCTGGTTCACCGTTTTGTTCCCAGGGTCTGGTAGAGGAAGGGCCACCAGGGGTAAGCACAATGAGTATTTGAAGGTGAATCTTCAGTTGCACCAAAGGTAGAGCCTGGGTCCCCCATGGTCCCAGTGAGTCACCCCCTCCACCATCCCCTGTCAGTGACGGTCCAGGGTCAGTTCAGAGTCTTGGATTCTGGGATAGGATTCAATCCTTTGCCACAGGGAAATGGGCTCTAGACAGAGTGAGGTTCTGATTAAGATACAGACGAGAAAGGCTCGTTTGCATGAAAGGTGTGTTGATCCGGAGTATTTCTGGAATTCCCCTGCCTCTCTTCATATCCACTGTAACCCCCTTGTTCAGGTTGGCAGAGAAGCTAACGCTTGCTTAGTGCTTGATGTGTGCCAGACACCATGTCACTTAGTTTCGCAATGACCCAGTGCGATCGTTACTCTCTATTACCCTATTTTATGGAAGAAGAAACCCATCATAAGAGAAATAAATAAAATTGCCCAAGGTCATAGAGCTGCTAAGTGGTGGAGTGGAATTTGAACCAAGCAGTGTCCTTTCAGGGTGTCAAGATACAGCCCCAGCTCTCCAACGTGGCGTGCGTGGGGGGGCCCTTGCTTGCCCTGTGGCCTTGTTGAAGGCATGTCCCCTCCCCTTCTCTCCCCACCCATTCTCTGGCTAACCCAGCATTGTTTCCTGTTCCCTGAACACAGCCTGCGCTTGCTACATACCAGCCCTTACATGCACCGTTCCTTTGGCCTGGAACCCTCTTCTTTTCCCTCTTGAGTTGCTGGGTGCTGGTTCCTCTGGGCGGCCCTCTGTGTCTCCAGCCAGCTGGCTTTGAGGCCCTCCCATGTCCCCTCCAGCCCCCCACTCTCTGTGTTCCTGGGCCTCACCGTGAGGTCTTTGTCCACCTGCTGGAACCCTCTGGGCTGTAGCGGAGGGGCAGGGACCGCTTGGCTTGCTCCCAGAATTTCCTCAGCACCTGGTGGAACCTGGAGGAGGGGACGGAGGAAAAAAAGAAGGTGGGAAGGAGGAAAGAGGAAGGAGAAAGGAAAGAAGGAAAGGAGGAAGGGAGGGAGGAAGGAAGAGAAAAGGGAAAGAGGGACAGTGGAGGAAGGAGCAGGTGTTTCATCCAGGGAAACAGAATCTGGCAGGTCAGGGCTGAAGCTGGCCAAGAAAGCAAACAGAGGAATGTGGGTCAGTTCAAGGCTCTAGAAGCGAGAGGAGCTGAGGATGTTCCGGTTGGAGATTGAGAAGAAACAGAGACCAGAACAAGATGTGGAGAGAGAGGGAATTCCCGGAACTTTCCCAGAAGGGGCCGACTCTTCTGGAACCCTGGCTAAGAGGACCTGCTTGTCAGCGAAGAGGTGAAACAGGTCAGGAATCAGCTTCTACTCCTGAGCAGGCTGGGTGCCCTGGTTAGTCACCCATGATCCTCAGGACAGTCCTGTGAGGCACATCTCTTGCCCCCAGTTTGCACAGATAGAAGAGAGTGATGAGTGCTGCCTAGAGGCACACGTGAGCCCGAATGTAGTGGAGCCGCACATTGCTGAAGCCTGGGCTCCCAGTTACTTCGCAGGTGTGGTCTGGTGTGCAGGCTGCATACGGGGGGTGTGTGGTGCGCTGATGACGGGCCCAGGTGGGCTGGGGTCATGTAGAGCTAGTGGAGTGGAGCAGCAGAGGATGCCTTCTCTTCTAGGGCATTGCTAGTCATAGACTTCCCTTCTGAGAAGGCCTCTGAATCCCCCTCAACACAGCCCCTCCCAGCAGCTAATACCAGTGGATCAGAGTTGTATATGGGAGGAAATCCATTATGGATTTCTTCCAACCCTTAAGAACTCTCACAGGTGTCTGGCACAGTCTTCCCTCGGTAAATATGCATTGAGTGGATAAATATGAATATGTGAGTCTATAATCACTTTCTTAACAGCTAGATAACTCATTTATGCTAAATGGGAAGCTATGAGAGGAAGAATTTGTGTGTGCGCGCGCACACACACACACACACACGCACACACACACACACACGCGCGCGCACACACACACACACACACACACAAGCACAAAAGGCTATGGGAGCCTGAAAGACCAAGAGGTCCCCTGTCTTAGTCTGTCTTTTGTTGCTGCAAAGCAATACCTGAGGCTGGGTCATTCATAAGGAAAAGAGGTATATTTGGCTCATGCATCTGCAGGCTGTACAAGAAGCATGGTGGCAGCATCTGCTTCTGGTGAGGCCTCAGGCCACTTCCACTCATGGTGGAAGGTGCAGGGGACCAGTGTGTGCAGAGATCACATGATGGGAGAGGAAACAAGAGAGAGGGAGGGTGCCAGGCTCTTTGTAATGATCAGCATGGATTGACTCATCCTATCCGCCTAACAACCCTTCAAGGTAGTGCTGTGTTACTCCCAATTTAAAGGTGTGGAAACTGAGGCATGAAGAGCCTCAGCCACTTGCCCACATGATACACCAGCGTGTGACAGAGCCAGGATTTGACCTATGTGGTTTGCCTCTAGGCCTCTGAGTCACCACCCTCTGCTGTTTCTATTACGTTGTACTTCCCCTGGTGGAGTTTACATGCTAGAGGGACAAACAGCCGGTATTTTAAAACGCTATAAACTGAGTGTGGTAATGTCTGTGGAGGAAGTGAGAGAGATTCAGGTAAGAAGATGGAGTAGCCTCTTGAGGAGAAGACTTCAAAGCCAGATCCTAAAGATGAGAAGGAATCAGCCATGGGAAGAGGAAGGTGTCAGGGAAGAAGGCCAGGAAAGGTCAAAAGTAAACTGGTGAGAAATAAAACAGATTTTTTTGTTATGGCAGCCCTAGTACACATGGCTGCACAGCTGGGTTAAGTCAGGAAGGCATCTGTAGGCAAGTTTGATCTGTTCCTGAAAGATGAGTGGAGTTGGCCAGGTGGAGAACGGGCAGGGAAACGTTCCAGGCAGAGGGAACAGCATATGCAAAAGGCTGATAGGTGTGACACATCTCATTTCTCTTCCTCTTAATTTTGGCAAAAACATAAAACTTCAGTACCTTTTAAGAGATAATTTTCTACTGCTTTGAAGTGTTGTGTCTGAGATTCAGGTTAGGTTTCTGTTTGGTGCCCATGACTTTGCTGGCAGAAGTGGAGATGGAAAACCCAAAGTGAATTTAATGTAGAAGGCTGTTCAAAATGAGAGTGAAAATGGAACTGATTTTCTCACCGGGTTAGACACTGTTATTATAAGATGGCTTCTCTCTTTATGGCTCTGAAACAAAAACAGAATGAAGAGTTCACTTCCAAAAGCAAACTCCCCTCCTGGAGGCTTTGGACCTGATGGATGGCAGGGACTTTATCCACAACTTCTGAGATGGATTTAGGAAGAAAATCAGCCTGTCACTGAAAGAAACCTTGGGAAAGAAAGCGCTTCCCTACTAATAGGGCCCCCAGGACCCTCCTCCAGTGAAGCCATAATTAACAATGGAAATGGGAAATAGTGCACTTTCTTGGGGGTTTTCCATTATTTTCAATGGTCATTATTTTCAAGACCATAAAAAATAGCTGTAAAGTAATTCACTTCTTTCCTTTACCCTTACCCCGCATTTTATATATATATATATATATAAAAAATATATTGATGTGTGTGTCTCCAATGAACTTTGAGGTTTCAGACACAAACACCAAAAATATTCCTTCTGGTGCATTGAACTTTTATTACTGTGAATTGACTTTTCCTCTGAGTGACATATATGCTAATTTAAAACAACTTTAACGCAGATGTACTTTTTAATTGAAAAGAATTCAAAATTAACTTTATCTTCAGAATATAACAATGCTCACGTGCAACCTTCAGTGAATCCCTACTGGTAAGGAAAACAGAAATGGAGAGTTCTATCCTGAGAAGATTGAGAATACAACGTTTTTGGGCTAAAGCTGTCCTCTGCTCTCATGGGGGCCGCTGGGATGGATGGGTGAAGCACTTGCATGAGGGCCTGGTGACTCCTGGAGAGTCACGCACAACACACTCAGTCCACCTTCCTAGCTCATTGAATCTGTTTTCACTTAGTGGAAAAAAAAAATCCCTGTCTCCAGTGCTGTAACTTTGGGTAGACAACTTGGCCAAGAGGCACCATGTCTCCAAATAACTCTCCTGTCTCCAAATAGAACTGGGTGTTCAGGAGGGAGAGTGAGAGAAGTTGTTCTAGGCCTCAGACTCAGTGTTTTGTAAGTACTACCAGATATCATCAGCTACTGTTCAGACTCAGTGTTTTGTAAGTACTACCAGACATCATCAGCTACTGGCAGGGGTCAAATAGGGAAGGATGGTATTAGTGTTTTCTCTCTGTTGAGACCCTCTCAAAATGAAGGCTAGCAGGAGGTGGTGGGAAGAGGAAAGCTATGAATCCTTTGGGGAACCTTAGGGCTTTTGACTTTTAAGAGAGGTTTCCCTTAGCTTCTGAGATTACTCAGTTATAAAGCATGAGATTTTTTTTTCCTTTGTAGCTAGCATGCATATTTAACATAGAAGAAAGGAACGAAGGAAAGGAAAAGAAACAACCATCTTGAAATCCACAAGAAAATAATTTCTTGCTAAACATAGACCATTTAATGGAACAGTGGTGAAATTTGAGATTTTCCAAATGGATGAATTGATTCCTAGTCTACTTACAAGACCTTAAATTGGAAGTTGTATTATTAAAAGTCGATACTGAAAGATGGAAAGATATTGCTTTCAGGTGACAAGTTAGTTTCAATTTTTCCAAGGCAATTCCTTTCTTGGAGAGCCACACGGAAGTAAGGTGCTTCTCCCGAAGGTCCTTTTGACTGCACTCTGTGTAAACTGGGCAGTTTCTGAGGTTCCTATTCACATGCCCCTTAAGAACAAGTAACCAGACCCTCCCTCCACCTGCCGGGATGGCTCTGTCCGTTGCTTTGTCCCCTGCCTCTTGTTAAAATTGCCAGCGACTTCTCCAGGGAGCAGTGACTCCATGTCTTTCCTCTTTGGGACGGCAGGTGATGCCACAGCTTTTCCTCCAGGGAATATTTTTTTGTGTATCAGACTAAATATCAGGATGGCCATTTGGCTTTTGACTTAATTCCAAAGCTTCCCCGTTTGTATTTCACAAGTAAGGGCCCTTTTCCCCTTCTTTCAGCTGCCCCCGCATTGTCTGCCGTCTTCCTCTTGTGAGATCAGAGTATTCCACGCTGCCTAGTATCTTTGGGTTTTCTTCCAGCCTGCGATAGCTCACCCTTATTTCATTCTGCTGGAAAAACCCCCGGTCATATTTGATTGTTGTCCTCTCTTGTCCCAGTCTCTCATCCCTCTCATTTGTTAAGACTGTCTTTGATTCTTGGGAATCCCATGTCTGCCACAGAGAATCCAGAAAGCCCCTGGGCCATATTTCAAAAGACCCATCAGGAAATTCTGAACATGTTTTGAAACTCCTACTAATTCTATGGGATTACAGAGGTTTATAAACTGCATTCCACATTTTTCCCTTGGTATCCTCACATACTTCTGAAATGTCAGAGGGACTAGGCTTCTCTTTATCCAGATATTAAACGTGTATGGAAACTCTGGGGGAAAGGAATTAAGGTGCTCAATCTGGTTTCCCTTTTGAAATCTCCGAGCTAGGACTGTATGACTGTTCACATAGGTTTTCTTTTCTTTTCCTTTTTTTTGAGATGGAGTTTTGCTTTTGTTGCCCAGGCAATGACGCAATCTCTGCTCACCGCAACCTCCGCCTCCTGGGTTCAAGAGATTCTCCTGCCTCAGCCTTCTGAGTAGCTGGGATTACAGGCATGCGCCACTAAACTAAACCCAACTCATTTTGTATTTTTAGTAGAGATGGGGTTTCTCCATGTTGAGGCTGGTCTCGAACTCCTGACCTCTGGTGATCCACCTGCCTCAGCCTCCCAAAGTGCTGGGATTACAGGCATGAGCCACTGTGCCTGGCCAGGTTTCCATTCTTATTTGGCAACACAGTACAAATAAAATTGTAGCTTTTTCCCTCTTATTTTAAGAAAGGTTCTTTGATGAAACAATAGATCACAATTTATCAAGCTTAATTTCTTCCAACTACAGAATTCAGTTCTTTCTGTGGCTTAGTTGATGTAACCCTCATGCAGTCTGAAGGTAGGTACTATTATTATGCACATCTTATGAATGAGAGACCCTAGGATGAGAGAGGTGGGTCCTCTTGAAGGATTTGTGACAGCTTTTTCTTCTTCTTTTTTTTTTTTCCCATCGATGATAAACTCCTCCAAGAGAAATGGAATTCTGGAATCAGTTTGTAAAGTCATCAATTAAAGTTACTATAAAAAGCACTTGCTCAACCCTGGCCAGACCTGCCACCTGGATGGCCCTGGCACCATCTTGAAGACAAACATCTGTTCATCTTATCTGTGGTCCCAGCCAGATGACGGAGGGAGGCAAAGACCAGTGTAATATGCAGTGACTTGAGGAGACTTTTGGCATCTGTTGAAGCCAGTCGGTGACAAGGAGGCAAGCAGTTTGGTGGCTCAGGGTCTCCTTCAAGAAAGAACCATTCATAAAGGCTTTACAGTTGCTCCTCTGGCCTCATAGGCTCTCCAAACCCCT